TTCGCGGAAAGGTTCATCTGGCCTGGTTTGAACAAGGATGTCAAAGTTTGGGCCCAGCCGTGCCCGAGTTGCCAACGGACCAAGGTCCGCCCGGCACCTTTCCTAGCCCCAACGCTCGTTTCAGTCATGTGCACCTCGATGTCGTAGGTCCGGGTGGCCGCCGAAAGTTTTCTGTCTCGGTCAGCCCTGATGGTGATCGGTCCGACCGCGACATCACGTGTTAGAAGTTCGCGCCAGACATTGAGCGAGAGATGATCAGGGTGCTGGCAGTTAGTGCGACTGCAGCCTGGGCGTGATGATTTCGCGATCTTATCTAGACCTGCACATCCTAGATTGCCCCCTACACTCCCATAGAGTAGGTAACCCGAAAAAAAGTTCGGCTGACGCGACTCCCAACTCGCTCAAAATATATACCGGCGAAGCTTCGCTTTCTCTAAACGAACGCACAGAATTTGTTACAGAAGATAGATAAGCTTAAAGCATGGGTAGCTGATGTACAGCTAAATGTTATCTCTATTAGGGAGACCTGGTTACTGCCCGACGTAAACGCCGAACGCATCGCATTAGAACGTAAAATCAGTTGCTCCATTGAGGGTAAAGCATTATGGCTTAAACTGAAGACTTGGGGTGCACCTACTTTACACTTTACTGACTATCTACAGACCACCCAATCAAACTTCGGAGGTTGACAGGGCCATTTGTGGGAACGTCCTTCTTGTCGACAAAACAATCTACTACACGACCACGTCATGTCTCTTTTGGAATACGGTTTAAACACCAAGCAAACGAAGAACTCGGAGGTCAAGCTACATTACTAGCACGGGAATTTTCCCGCAATGGGAAGTGAACTATGGATACTAAACAGGTAGATATTCTTACAGGTTGTCCAGATACCGACAAGAACTTTCTCAGGGGTGTTATAGACGAAGTTATGCATCACAGCTGTCCGCTTAAAAAGTACAAAAGCGAGCTGGCTTGGTTAACGTGAGATTTCAATTGCCTGATAAACCGAAAGACCAAACTCTGGAGATGGTTTACAACAATGGATCAACCCTTTCACTACGAATGGATTCGCCAAAAGCGAACGAGATTATTTCAAGAGTTCGCAAATCACGGAAGAAATATGAGAGAAAACGTGCCTTATTTAAGCAGAAAGTAATCTTTACCTTCACCAACAGTAGCTTATAAAATAAAGAAGCAGTCACAGTATTGAAAAGTGAAAGCAAGGAATAAATTACTCGAACATCTTAGCCGGATTTTCACATCGGTTTTCACTGAGGAAGCAGATGTTAACCAGCCAGACTTTCACGAAGGCAGTAGCGACACAATTATGAAAGACCTCGAGCTCACAGAAGGAGGGGTATGCGTTTTACGAAGCTAAGTATCCAGATCCAGACGAGATACCGTCAAATGAACTGCAAAAGCTCGCTTCAGAACTATCCAGACCAGTTTCGTGTATTTTCCACAATGAGGTTTCTCGAAGAAAATATTTATTTGACAGTGCCAATCACGTATTTAGAGAAAGCACTCCTGTCTGACTAAAATACTTTATTTAACGAAGCAGTAGTCCAGGTCATTAGACGAGAAAACCAACGTTGATGTTGTCGTTATTGATTTCAAGAAAGCCTCCTCTACAATGCCATGGAATCCGGGATCAGGGGTATTTACTAAATTGGATACGAGATTTCCTAATAGGCCGATCGCAGTTCATTTGCACGGCAACTCGAAAATCCACTTCAGCGCCGGTTCACTGGAGGTGGGACATTACGGGTTGAAATCCCCGCCCTGGACCCCCTGGATTTTATGGGACTTTAGGGCGGGGATTTCAATCTGTATTGCCCCGCCTCCGGAAAATATATTCGCAGCGGGACGCCCATTTTCCATAATTTAACCCCGATTTGGTCCGAGGAAATTCGGGACTGGTGCTGGCAGGGTTGTCAGTGGTGTACCTCGGGGCTATAGAAGTTTATCATACTTGATAAAAGAGTATATCGAACCTAAACGAACAAAAGAATCTAGGAATCGCAATTGTCTATCTCTGAAGTCTTCCTCTTAATGTGTCGGGGCTGCCAAGAAAGCAAACATTAAACGGACTTTTGTCGATATCGATAATGAATTAATAACATGTAATCTAAAGCAGGAATATGGAACCAGTGTCGAACTTTAGGAAATACACTGAATTTCCAACAAGAAATATTTTTAATTAGTGGATATATCAATTGAGATAATTTTTATCCTGCGTAGCTCTATAGCAGAGAGGCTGGACTCTTGGCTAATTCTATTTTTTCAGTTTGAATTACTTACTTGGAAAATTTTTGTTTGCATTCTTTTGCTTATTTGTTTAGTACCAGTTTACAGGCAAGGTCAAAAATTAGGTTAATCGGTAAAGCACCTCTTGGACACCTTTAAAACCCTGAAAGACAAAAAACCTTAAACAAATTCCCTTTTTGCATTCAATAGTGTCTATTTTACTTTTGTCTTTGGTCAATAGTGGACAAATAGGGAGTTTGTTTTAAGTGAAAAAAAGCCTGAACTCAAAGGTCAGTCATTCAGTCAGTATATTTGAGGGAAAGGTAGGCTTGCGCCTTTGAACTCCCTATT